TTTCAAGGACTTTGCCAAAAACGGCAGATTTGAGATGGAAATTGTTCAGTACTGTGGCATCAAGACTGCTCTTCTTTAGGAGAGGCTTAATGACTGCAGTTTTCAACGCGTTTGGGAATGTTCCAGATTGAAGTGACATGTTAACTATGTGAGTGAGTGGTGAAAGTAAACTGTTGAGGACGGACTTTAGAAATCTAGTGGGTAACATGTCCAGGCAGCAAGTAGATGAACTCAGACTGGTAACGATCTCTAAAACAGTTTTGTCAGTTACAGGTGCAAAGTGATTCAGCTCTAAGTGTCTCTGTGGCTGCATGCTTGTTATTTGTGTTGTGGAATTGATGGCATTTTTGATGCCCTGAACTTTGTCATTAAAGAAAACTGCAAACTCATGGATAAGCATTGTCTGAAAATGTACCTTTTTATTATAAGTGGAATTAGGCCTCAACAAACAAGCCTGTTAATAAGTCACACAGTGTACTTTTTTAACAGGGAAGTAGGGATGGCTTCAAACCGTATCCAGAGCACAGGAAATCGCAAAAGTCAAGTAGTAAACAAGAATGGGCATGCCAGTGACTGGTGTAAAAAATGAAAACTCTGTGACCTCTAATTTTGAGTGAAGACCCCAAGAAAAATATTGAAAGACATCTAAGTAGTGCCACCTCAAAAATCAATTTAAAATGGGCCAATGGGAGCCCCCACACACACACACCCTAACCCTCACACATCTTGCCTTGGTTTGATCCTTGCTTGATGATCTTAAAGTCCTGGTTTAGTCCAGTTTTGTTCCCAATTTAGTTGTGGTGTCTGCATATAAGTTTAAAAACTTTTGCTTAAAATACATAGCTATATTTATATATACATATACATTCTCTGTCTGAACTCTTGTTCCCTGTGTGCAGTGATTTGGTCTGAAAAAACAAAAAACTGAAGTTGATAAAAATGAAATCTAATTGAGTAAAAATCCTAACCGAATAAACTAAATGGCTTGCGGCACACTCTTGCAATTTTGTTATAATGGGACCTCCACTGTCCTCCAATAAGTTATAAATGAGGTATGATCGAAGACGAGTAAAACCAATTTTTGTAATGTCTATTTATGGTAATTAAACATAATCTAGCATAAGGCCTCATTTTTGCTAAACAACACTAATTAATTTCACTGATAACCAAGCTGTCTCACAAATTGAATGCTTAAATAAAATCATGCCAACCCTACTGTGTGTGTGTACAGACGGGCATTTATGACACTGTGCGCACTAAAATCTGTACACACTTGCATCACGGATACTTGTCTGTCTTATGAGAACAAAAACCAGATCCCCATAATGTAAGTGCTTTAGTACTGGATCAGGGACATGATTTAAAGTTCAGATATGGGTTACAGTATGTTAAGGCTAAAGCCTATTATGCAGAATCCACTTTTTAGAGCTTTTACCCATGTTCTAGTTATTTGCCCTAAGCATTACTTACCCAAAGTTGTATTTGGAGTGTTTTGTGTATGTTTTAGCAATTCTTAATTGCTCATTTTCAAGACACCATATTGCTGATCAATCCCCGTGTTCACCGCCATACGTCCACTTCTCTGTACTTACTCCATTCTTCAATTATATTTTCTTAATCAGTGATACATGCAGGATTTGGCAGTGTTGGATAGTCATTTTGGTACAAATTAAGAAAAAACCTCACTAGCTTGATCTGCAGCTATGCATCGAAGCTGCCAACTCTTGTGATAACATTTACGGCAAAGTCAGTTCTCATTGAACACCGCAGTTTTCTAATGTAAGTCAGCAAACTTGTTTCTTTTTAAGTTGTTTTAAATGAACATTGCTATTTAAAATCAGCAAATTATAACGTAATGATCCACACATAGATTGATTTTATCATAGATTATAGCTATATAGTAGACACAAGCACAATAGGTCCTTTTTAAGTTTAGGATCAGTCTTCAGGAAATGAATGCAAGTCAATGGAATGTTCCCAAGAAGTCTGTAAACCCAACATGTGTGTGTCTCTAAAGTTCAGCCCCTGCTCTAGGCTCTGCGTCTCATATCGTCTCATTGCATTGACAGTGTCTCTCCCTCTCCCTCTCTCTTCCTTTCGCTTGCACACACATAAGAAAAACACATAGGAAATCCAAGTGGCACAATGATATGTTTATTGAGAGGCTTTGGATACTTAGAAAAAGGTGTCTGCTGCCGGAATGTCACAACCATTGACAAAAAACATGGCGTCCCTTATCTAGTCAAACACACGCTCACTGTCCCTCGCCACACACACACTCCCTTGCCGAGAAGAAGAGGAAAGACTAACAGCAATGCACAGAACAAGACGCTATCACAGTTGTCTACAAGCTCTTATCTACATGGAAAAATTCACTGGTACACATTAAGGAGGGAGATCTTCTTTAGGCACAGCAAAAGCAATAATAACATGTCTTAAATCTTGACAACGATAATCATAAAAATAAAACATCTTGCACACTTTCAGGAATCTACAGGAACCCAGATGGTCCAAATGTTTACAGTGGGTTTTCGGGGCGTCAATCCTGTAAGCATTTTTATATATGGTCTTTCTCTTCCTATACACACATATAGTTAGGATTTGCACAACTTGAGGCTTTGACATTTAATATAAACATCATCCCAAGTCTGTCAGAAAAATGGCTATTTAGAGCTTCTCCATTCTACATACAGTACATACGCCACTGCTTGACATTAGCCGTGACTTTGAAATGACATGAAAATTCACACACAAACATTACCACAGACAATTACAAGAGCAATTCAGGCTCTTTTTATAATTGAGAGTCAAGTTCAAGAAGTTCACTGCATCGTCCCAAATCTGAACAGGAATCCATTGATTATTTATCGGTTATCTCCCATCATATTGTCTTTGGAAATCGTTGGGCTCCGAAAATTCCTCACTTGATTTGTCCAGTGTAATGTTTTGTTTTTCAGTGTTTTTAGCTGGTGTTGATTTGATGTAGTTGCAATCCAGATGATGGCTGGGCTGTTCAGTTCTTGATGTTGCCTATAGGGGGAGCCATGCAGAGAAAAGGAAGCACTGCAACAATTAACATTTTCCAAAACAGCTCAAAACACAAAGGATTTGACTGAGAGGCTGATATTCAGACCAGCGTATTTCAGAAAATTATTATGTGAAAGTTATTTTTAGTTGCTTTTTTAATGCGTTTAAGAGTTCTGGACCATGCATCCATTTTTGACAAGTGGTGGTTTTCTTATCAATGTTAGCATCTAGATTTTAGATTACTACCTACGTACTACATTTGCAGCATTTAGAAACCATGTCTTTGTTGAATTTTTAGTGTGTTTTTATGACAAACTAAATAACAAAATTGATTATCACATTATCATTTTAACATACATTTTTAGACTACTTGATGTTTGAATTGCTGTAACTTCCCATGGCCATCACTACATGATTTGAAATTCACTGTATATACTTACTTTTACTAAGTGGTTTATAACTAGTCTAATGTGAACCTGAATTTTAATAATTATCAGTGTATTAATGGATTAGAATCAATTCACAATTTCCATCCGCTCTATAACCCACACCGTTTCTATTGCAGCTACACCCTTCAGGCCGAATGATCATTATTTTGTGACCCATATTTTTTCCAAATGGCTGCAGGTCTGTCATGATACATGCATTTAGAATATGTAATGTAGTTTAATATAATGTATGACCCCAATTTAGCTTTCATTTTAAGATGAATATTAAAACCATTTTGACCTTTCCAAATACCCCCTTTTGGTCCCAATACATCATTTGTGAACTACTTGCTTTCATACATGGTGTACTAATGGATAGCTCTTGGCTGGTATTTTGAATTATACACTTAGTTTACTTCCTACCCACAATGCCTTGCTCTGAGCAGTGATACTATTGCTTCATGTATGGCAGGTTTAAGATGCTGAGTGGCAGTTTTAAAAGCAGCGAATTACTGATGGAGGGAAGAGGATTTTGAGCTAACGCTTCAAGATAAAACTTCTGCATCGTCGTCACAGCCAAATGGTAACTCACAGTGGAGATGTATTCTACGGTGGCAGGCTACAGTCCGAGAACCGTGCATGAGAAGAACACAAGCCTTTGTTTGCTCTGTGTGTGTTTAGATAAGCTTTTCGCCTGGATATACTGTGTGTCAGCTCAGCAGATGGAGTTAGATTCTCACCACTGGGGAAATCTCAATCCCACAATGCACTGGGAGCTGCGCCAAATGAGGAAGTGGCGATAATAATAAGAAGCCAATCAGAAAGAAAACAGCGTATTTTGCCACTAGAAATGCTTATTTTTGTGCTCTCCATCACTGTGAAATGGTCTTCAGATATTTATGTATCAAACACATCACAAAATAATTTCTATAGTGTATGAAATGGGATAAATTGAAGTGGATTTTTTGTTTTTGAGTGTGACAAAAGTGTCCAGAAACCCTTTAATATGCTAATTACAATGGCATACATATCAACATTGGGAATTATTACTACAAATCTGCCATGGGAATACTAGGAGTCTTCAGAATCCCTATTGCCCACAGAGAGGCATCTTCTTTTGTGATGGGAAAGAGTGGAGAGCAATATACGAAAAATATTGGTACACACAATTTTGCGTTTCCTTAAACATACAGAGAAACTAAAATATCAGAAATTACTTGATTTTTTTTCTTTTGAACATTTCATTAAATCTTAAATATGGGGCATGGACAACTGGACATTCTGCTAATAATTGACATAATAGGTAAAAGTGGCTTTGTAGCTTCACAGAAAGAATGAACCCCTACCCAATCCAGTTGGAAGATAAGGGCAACTTTGACAGTTTTCTTCAGTTTTCTTTTCACTTTTTAACATATTTTTTTAAGACTTGTTTTTTGTTGTTGTTTGTTTGTCTAAAATGAAACCCATCTTTGCTCAAAACTAGACTCCAAATCCCATTAAAGTGAATGTGAGTGTGTGAGAATGAGATACACTGAAGTACTGAGATTGAGGCTTTGATACTCATTAAATTGACACATGGACATGGTACAAACAATTGAATCCCAAATATTTATGTCTGTGTATTCAAAATGCAGGTTTATCTAATCTAGATTTATAATTTCACCTGTAAAACAAAACCTAAAATCCTTAGTATTGATTTTAAGGCAGAGTGAGTGCAGCTTTTTTGAGCGGTAAAATCATTTATCTGGCTTGACTTCTACAAAACAATTTTGGTCCTAAGAATATATGGCAACTATAACTATAATGGCTAAGTGTGATTATGGTTTTATAGACCTTGAGTGCCTGCTTCAATGTTTAGTGCTCACAGTGGAAAACAGAGCTGTCTCCAATCTCCCTTAGCCCTTCTTTGGCGAGTCTGCAACAAAAAGTCTTATGCATTGCCTATAGCCAATCACATTTGTGGATTTCAGATGGCGATATACAGAGTGTCAACATGAGGTATGAGTAACAGAAGATGAAAGGGCTAGAGGGTGGGAGTGGCTGGTCGTTCTGGGTCAAAAGTTTTTATTTTCATTTGATGCTTTCATCTCAGAGCAGAGTCCATGAGGGTCACCCACTTCAGTTAGGCCAGCGCTACTGCAGGCCTAGCAATTGCATGGAGGTTTCCCATAAGCTTAGCTGCAGCTGGGGGTCAGAGGTCACAGGTGATGTCATCTGCCTGCGTCCATTGGCCCAGTAGTCTTCGGCACGCCCCCCCTCCAGCGCTGGTGATAGAGAGGTGTACAAGACCGTGGCAGCGCCCTCTTTAGGAGTCTAGGGGAAACAAGAACACAAAAAATTGTTGGTGTTATTAAAATATAAGTATAATAATTAGGGTTGAAATGTGTTGGCTGTCCACACTATAATAAAGAACTTAATAAAGGACTATATCTTTTAGTAAAATTAGACTCTTTATAGTAAGGCATCTGTAAATCACTTGCTTGACACACAGGTGGTGCACTAAATTTTCTTTTTTTTTTTTTTTCACACTTTAATTGGGTCTTATTAGACAGTGAGATGTGTGAAATTGGTGTGAAGAGTGAGAAGAGACATTCAGCAAATTTTCAACTTCGGGAATTAATCTTAAGTACAATTTAGATGTTTTTTGTAGTAATTTGATTATGTAATTTAAAATGTTCAATGTACTGCAAAGAGCATTTTTACTTTTACAAGAGTAGAATAAATTATAATTAGAAAACTTTTGCATTTATTTTTGATTGTGTTGATTAGTTTCACTGAACTCATTGAATGTTCATCCACCAGTTGGACTAATTACCAGTTGGTAGAAACTGAGCTGTTACATTGTCCTATTCCTTCATATTTTGACAGAGACGCAGACAAATTAGCGACAAATTAGCAGCATAACACAAAAGGTGAAAAGCTGATGAACAAATGGTCAGTGTTTCATTCTCTGTATCCGGGATTGAGAAAAATTGCCTAAGCGGATATCACTTTTTTTATAATTTTTTTTGTATATCCCGCTTGGATCCGTAGACATCAAAAAGAATTGGAGTGTTGACAGGTTGACAAGTACAACAACAAGTTTCGTCTTCCAAACAAAGGCTGTATCTAAGTGTGTTGTGTGAATGCCAGAGGAGGATGGCCGTCTCAGGATGTTAGAATCAGTTGGAGCTAGGCTAAGGGTAAATGCGTGTATGTGTGTGTACTTCTCTGTTAACATTGATGCGTTTTAACAATGAGCTCAGTGTCAGCCTTGAGACCAGCTGGGGGGTTTTAGAGCAGAGGGTAGATCACATCCCAGAAGCAAAGTACTACATGTTTTTCCCTCTAAACCAAAGCATATAAGTAGGCCGTTTATGAGTGTAACGTCAAAATACATTTCTGTGAATTCAAATTGTTGTCATGATATAATAACTTTCAAAGCAACTCATGCAGTTCGAGTACAACATAACAGGGCGTCTGTGCTTCATTCACTGGTGGCGGGATAGTGAAAAAAACACCTTGAACACTTTATGTACTTGAGAAAAGAAAACTGGTTTCCATGACAACAGTCTCATTCTGTTCCACATGTTGCTGAGTCATATGAGCTTGTGCGGTAGACCCTTTTATGCCTGTATACTATCATTATGGGGATGAACAAATTCTGAGAAAAAAAAAAAATCTAATCTTTTTTTTACTGACCAATATTGAGACAGACTGAATTAGAAGATTTTACTGGCCAGAGGAAATTATGTTACCCAAATAGGTGCACTCTTGTGATTTATTCAAACACTATTTATGGTTTGGGTGCAAGTTTCGCCACATTCAAAAGAATAAGATGGTTGTTATACTTACATTAGTTATTCTATACTTTAAAAGGAAGAATAACAGTTAGCAAAAAAGTATTTAATGTAATTTTAAAATTAAAGTAATTTTATGCAATTTAAGAATCAAGATTATCTCAAAACTCTAATCATGTAATTTTAGGATCTGGCTAGGGCATATTAGAGAACATATCAGCCATTTTGTATACCTTATTTTGTTTCTAACAAATTTTGAATTAAATCATTAATCATGGAAAAAAATCTATGTTGTATGTAGGCTACTTAACATAATCAGCATATAATCATCAGTTTTGAAAAAAAATAAAAAAGATCTATATTACTAGAGACGCAAATTATGCTGAATCTCATCTAGTATTCAGTGTCTTAAACTGCACCTTTAGACCAAGCTGGGGTAATCTTATTTCTGACATGAGCAGTAAATCAAACTGCCCTTTAGTGTACTTTCTTGGATGTGTATTTGATTTCTTTTGTGGCAAAACTCATCTAAAATAGCAGTTTCTTCCAGCAAGCTCTTATTGAACATGGCACCACTCTTTTCCCTTTTTGATAATACAGACTGCTACGAACACTGTTTTACTAAATTATGCATTTTTTTGACATAAAAGGTGCAAGAACAATTGAGTCTATACCTGGCATGGCGTAATTACTACAGGCATATCTGATGTACCTAATGCATTTGTATATGTGAGGAAAAACATAAGGCAGAAGGTTGAGCTCGAGGTAAGTGGATGTGACAAATGCAGTTTTAGTCCAGGGCACGCACACATGTCGCACTGCGTTAACTCCCAAGGACATTAACGGGCGCCCGCGGCAACAGCCTTCAGCTATGCAAGAAGTTCTTCATAATAGAATAGTCAACAGCTTGCAGCGGACAAAGCTTCGCAAACCAATTTCAAAAGAGATTGTAAATGGGGTGTTTTGCAAACTTCATGAAGCTAGATTTTAATCAGAATAAACCATGTGAATCTAAAGATGATTTTAATTTGTAACAGATCAGTACGCTGGGAATAGCTGAGACTTCACAACAAAAAAATTTGACTTAATCATATAAGTTGAAAAGTATTATATATAAATGGATAGGCTAGTGTTGTCATGATACTCACACTTCAAACTTGATTTTGGAAAGGCTTCATTGTTGATACCAATTTTGATACAAGCAAAAAAAAAAAATATCAACACAAAGTAATAGTAGTTTATTACCAAGCAGCCAAGTTCTAATATTGACACAAACCATTAAAACAATGTCCTGGTTATGTTTTTTTTTTTTTTTCAGAATGCCTGCTTGACTGAGTATCTATGTTCAATACTACTTAGACTCTGGGTATGACTTTCTCTGGCAACCTGTCTTAAAAAATGAATTTCATTTAGATAAGGTTTACTGATTTTGAAATAAGCTATTTTACTTTTGTAATAAAATAGTTTTGCTTTTAATGATTGGATTCTCTGTCAGCCTGGAAAAGGACAATAGCCTTGGATCTAAGCACTGTCAACAGTACGGCAGTTAAATTATTTAGAGTACCACAAATCTTTTTCAGTGACAAAATGAATGGTTGTCAATCAGCTGTTTCAAAATAAAGATTGTAGATTTTGTACATAGAACTCCTTCTGCAATAAGACTTTTTTTCCAGACTTGGGCAGTACATAAGTCAGAAATCCACCTTTTTGATGAGATCTGATCAAAACTTTGAAGTGGTCCCAGTCTCTATGTGAGTGCCAGTGGAGTGTGTCATACCCAGAAAAGCAGCTGTGCGATGACGCCTTGTGCCAAACGCAGAGGTGCCCACATGTGCTGGTACAGGGCCGTGTGAACCATCCCGGGGTCCACGGCACACGAGCTCACGGGGGCCCCTCCAGCTCGCAGCACCCTCTGCAGCTGTAGACTGAACAGCAGCAGGGCCAGTTTACTGCGGCAGTACGCAGCGTGGGCTGAATAATATTCACTGTAGAGACATGAGGCAATGAGTTAAGCAGTCGTCATGGTAATGTCATTGTTTGTGTGGAATATTTAAAAGTATGGCATTAAAGTCTACTCCCATGGAGACATCACCAGGTTAGATCTATGGACACGGGACCTGCTCACAGTAAGAATTCATTTTTAATAATAATAATAATATTAATAATAATACATTTCAGTTCAGTTAGATCTTTAAAATGTGCACTATGTCACTTTTTGGTTGGGGGTCCGTCACCTGCTAGTTTCTATGGATATGTCATTGCTTTGCCTGGACTGTTACAGTATGATATTAAACAGGTGGTTTTATAGCTCAAAAATACCTAGAAAACCAGGCACTCTGACTATGAGAGGGCTTGCCTTTCCACAGATCTCACCTGTAACTTGGTCTGGCTTGAAGATAGAAAGGTTTAATGCCATACTGTGAAACATTCCAGACAAAGCAATTATGTCTCCATGGAAAAAAATTCATGCACCCTTCACCAGAAAAGTTACACAATGCACCTTTAAGCCTTCATATTGGTCATATTCATATTAGTGAATATGTCCACAGGCTGGCATGATAATCTTAAAAACAGTTTCACACAAAATTGTATTGCAAGTTAAATACATTTAGATAAATACCAACTATGTAATAGATGTAACCGTGTGACACAATGAAACCAGTGAGTGTCTGTAATTATCTTGGACAGTAACGTGGCCACAGGAGGGGCCCTCATTGAATCTCTCCTTTGGGGTTTAATTAAATTATTTGAATTGAATTTCACTAAATTGGCCTGAAGAATGAGCCACCTGAAGGCCACTAATGCCAGCACTAAATGAGCCACTTGGACTGAGAGAGGAAGTGTAAAAGGTTAAATTACAGGGCCTTTGAACACTTTAAAAAGCTGTGGTTTTCAAATGGTGGTGGCCAAAAGCTAATGTAAGTAATTAGCAAATTATTTATTAACTTTTTCACATTTTCATTTACATAAGGTTGGGCAATATGGCAGAAATGAGTATGTCAGTATGGCTTTAAATATAAATTTTCTTAGCATTGGCTTTTGCTCAGTGCCATTTAACACAAAAAGTCAGAAATCTGCTCCAAACCAGATGCTTTTACTGAAAGAAGATTGGCTGGGGATGTGTATATTGAAAAGACCCAAGCAATTCATTGACTTGACTGAATTCCAATTCATTCCACAATTATTATCATGGTACAGGCACAACAAGCCTTGAACCTTTATTGTTGACTTTATTGTTGAAAGTAGATTTTACATAAAGAAATTGGCTCCTCCAGACATAAAAAAACACAGATTATGCTGAATACACAATAATCTAATGGTTGAATGTAGCTTTGAATGTAATGTACCAGCTATTGAGGTCACTGAGTTTGAGATCTCCGATGCAATGGGCTGAAGAGGAGACATTAACCACTCGTGAGAAACAATCAGACGTCCCTGACTGCTTTAGGTTATCCAGAAGAAGCCACGTTAACAAGAAGTGACCCAAGTAGTTCACTCCAAAATGCTTCTCAAATCCATCTTCAGTGCGACCCTCAGGAGCAAGCATTATACCCGCTAAAACACAGAAGAAATACACTTTAATAACATCAGAGGCTGCCAATCTGTGCCATCGGCCCCTCCGACCACAACCAACACTCACACACAGTTCTTTCAAACTAGGCAATGTGCGTGAACTGTCTTGCCTAGAACACAAAAACTGTTTTTGCCACTGGCGTCCCACTGTAGCACGTGCAATTCCCAGCGATCTCCCATCCAAGTACTAACCAGGCCCAGCCTTGCTTAGCTTCTGAGAGCTGAGAAGATCAGGTTTTGGCAAGGAGGTTTGTCCTCACAAGTCAGTTGGAGTCCCTCCACCAGGGACTAGACAAGAAAGAGTCTGATTTGTTGAGATGCAAGCTTGCTCACAGTAAGGACACATGTTTTTCAATGCAAGGAAAAAAAAAAAACAAAAAAGCTTTTATTGGTGTCTGTTTTTTTGCCTAAAATATTACATGCTGGGGATTTAAGTTAATATTTTTCTTGACAATTTCAAGTGCAACAACAAACACAAAAATGTTGAAAAGTAAAATCTGGCACCTGCATCACTCATGAGTTAGTGTTTTCATTTACAAAACAGAGTCACAGCAACAGTAAAACAATACAAAATATAAGTAACATACTACCGAATATCAGTTATGTTCTTACCATTGTTAACAAGGATGTTTAGTGGTAGGTGTCTTTTCTTGAAGCTCTGGACAAAATGCCGGACTGACTGCAGAGAGCCCAAGTCCAGAGTCTGAAATTCAACTGCAACAAAGACACAGAAAAACAGACGTGAGAATCATCCACCAACCACGAAATGAATTATTTCTGTTGGTGCTTCCTGGAGGCCAGACTTCAAAGAGACTTTTAATCAACTGGTTACACGACAATGGCCTCCTTCACTGCAACCCTTTAGATAAAACTGAAGCCATTTTCAAAGCCATCGAAAGCTTAACCAAATGAAGATGTACATTAGATACACGTAAGATTTTAAGAGTTAAGAAGTATTTTAATCACCCTAGCATTTGAGCAACGATCATGCTTACACTGTTTGTGCTTCAAATTACTGTAATTGTTTGGGGTATAGGAATTCACCATATAAGACTAGAAAGGCTCAGCTCTGTCAAATGTATAAAAACAGGCGTAAAATGGTTTGTCCCTGAGGAATAAATGAGTGTGAATGTCACTATGCTGCCTGAAGTATGTCTCTATTACAGTATACCCCAGAGTTTATGCGATCACATCTGTCACAATTTCATTACAAACAACATTCAGTTTTTAAGGGGCACTTTTTTGTGAGGGGCCTGCCACATGCTTGTCACCATGGAGATGACACTGCTTTGCCAGGAATGTTCCACACTTACAGTTTACATTATTCAGGTAGAAGGTAGCTGATCCAATTCCAGTTCTCTGGCAATTTTAAAGCACTTCATTTGCAGTCATGTAATTTTCCACTGTTGTGTGTTATACTTGCAATATGTTGAGCAGAAAATATCTACTGTATATCCCAGATAGTAATTGATACCACAGACTGATCTAGAAAAAGCTCCACAGAGTTATATTAAATCTTAATTACTTTCCTGAAAAGATCTTAAATGGTTTTAAATGATCTGTAAGACCACACTATTGAAGTTAAAGTAGCTACAATTATTATTGTGCTGTAAATACATTCTTTTGACTATTATTTTGGTATCAAAATCAGAACCAAATCTTTTCCTTTGTATCAAAACAAAGATGGCAACATTTGTTCGAGCAGATACATTTCGAGCCTCATTTAATTTTGCCTGAATCTGCTGCTGTTTCATGTCACCATTATTTTGCTTGATGCCCTTTACTGCTCTTCTCCACCCAGAAACTGATGTCTCACCCCTCCCCAAACTCCACTAAGCCTGTAGATATGAAGCACGATTAGACTGGCAGAAGACGAGCGCGCTGGGAGGAGTAGATAGATTTGATAAGGTTAAAATGGCCCGCTATGACGGATGAGAGCTTGGATAGAGAGGTTTTTATCTACAAGCAGCGCCACTCACCTGCAGCGAGGAGGCGGAGATAGTGAAAGGACAAAGACAGGGACAGTGGGGGGGGGGGGGGGGATGGGGGGCCAATGTGTCTGTATGCATGACAGCAGTAACTATGACTGCAGGTGCTTGAAACTATATTGCTTGTAAGGACTGTAGCCACCCTCTCCGATCCCCTCTTGAGTGAGCTCCCTTGGGGTCAAGCCCTTTAAGACTGAGCGGTCAAATCTGGAGAGCCTACTGGGAGCCAAATGCCATCGATTGAGTTCATGCTTATACTGCTGCTGCCGCCGCCGCCAGGACTGTAACAATAACAATCATAGGATATCTATAAAGCTGCAGTCAACAAGTGCCAATAGGAACACAGGGAGAGATGTGGTTACAGTGGAAATATTGGGAACTTTTTATCTGACCAGCCAGAACCACATGCTTTGACAAAACTTTATAAAAGGCGAGTGGATCAGGGACCACATCCTGTTACCCAGATTTCAGAGGTCGTGATTGACAAGTGGATTAACCAGTCAGAGAAATACATGGTCTGTTTGCGTCAAAAACAAACATAAAGGACTAAGAAACAGCACAGATTTTTACAGAATCAACAATTGAAACACCATTTATCTAAGGTATAAGATGTTATATTTTTTTTTTCTGAATGTTACAAGAATTTTGGAGAGCCAATATATTCCACATTTGAGAGACATGTGCTACAAATTAGACGGGACTGGCTAGTGAGGCAAAAGAACTGTAAAGTAGGGGTGTGCAATATGCCAGAAAATTAAAATGACAATATGACAATTTTACCTAGAACATTGTCACAGAAATGAGATCACAATTCAGTTTTATCACCAAATTGCCCAGACCTACTTTCTGCAAAAACATTTTGTCGCGTTAGAAGGAAACCAGTGGGTTGTTATTGTATATTAAATGGTAGAGACCAACTAAATTATTGGTCAAAAGGAAGCTGGATGTTAGTATTTGTTTCATGTAGGGTTTGATGTAAAAGAAAAAAAAAAATCTCTATTTTGCTACATGAACATACAAGTGATGGAAAAGACAGCAAAATAAGTTAACGTTCAGGAATATTGCAAGATTGATTACAAGATTGCATTAACAGAAAAATATTATTATTGCATTAACAATTTTCGGTATGTACACTATTTCCATTTAAATATACTTTTTGAATATCAACACTTATTTGCTATAGCCACACAAAGAATATAGGCTTTGGCACAGTATTGTATCTTCTGTAGGAATATTCAAATCATTATTTAGCATACAAACTCAAGGCCAAATCATTTTCTCGAAGCCTGTTGTTCTTGGCATGTGGGACTGGCACCTCTTGGTATACTTCCGTTGCTGTAACCAATTGTTTTTGTATGACGCAAAAACTAGTACAAGTCTAATGTAATTAATCCTGCCATAACCCAGGTTTGCTTTTCATTTCAGTGCTGGAAAACAAATCAGAATTCTGAAACTTGGCCAAAGAAAATGGTTTTGTGTGCCAGTGGGTCAGATGGTGCCACTGTAATTAGAGCGATCACACATAATTTTGAAGAGACTGCTGCTCCTGCGCCTTCTGAGGCTATTCAGTTTTGATTTGACTCACAGCTGTTAACTTCTTCTATCACACTATAGATCAAAGCCTTTTGGACCGTAAAAGCCATTATATTAATGCCATATGCAGATGTATTCAAATTAACCATTTATTATTGCAAAACCCAATAAAATAAAAAAGTAAAATGAATAATTTGTAATTTATGCTATTACTTAGTGGTTTTAAATTGACTTTTTTTTTTTTCAAAAGTCCATTTAAAACAGGACACTTGCTGTGTTTGTTATGTATTTAATTTATGTAATAATATAACATAGACTGTGGCATACATGAACTGATAAACTGTAGGACCAACTTGTTGCTAAAAATATATAAGAATGGAAATACAATGGAAATGGTCTGTTTACAGCTCGTCTTGTTATCTTGGTGCTGACAGCATGTTGCAGAGTTATGGACTTGTTTGGCTCTCTGACCCTTTGTGAAGTGACCAGAAGAAGTAATCTTTAGAGTGTGAAAAGTGCAAGAGTTCACCCTTTAAACCAGATTAAAAAAGCCTGTAAAGGTCATTGATCTGAGCCGAAGACACCAAACTTAATGAAAACGCCTCTACCGCAGCATCCTGGTGGTTAGACCCATGGGACTAATTAAAGTTGTAAAAAAAAAAAAAAAAAAAAAAAGAAAGAAATCAATGCAGCTCAATTACAGGTCTGGAGGCAGTAGGTCAGTTTGAATGAGATATAGGCATTGTGTAAGCATTGTGTAATGTAATGTTCTCATGTGTGGATACATGTGTTCTCATCTATATCTATGTGTGCAGCTATATGCTGATTGTAATGACCAAGCTGCTTTCTCAGTTTTATTTTTTACAATAGAATGTCAATAACTGTATAACTGAATTGCATATAAAAATACTTAATATATTATAGAAATGCTCCACTTTGCTTTTAATAACTTGAATATCATTCTGTTTGTATTAAATACATTATTATCACAACTTTAAAGGTACATGGACACTTGATACAGTGGAGACAGTGTGAGTGAAATTAAATTCAAAGCATATTGTTACAAAAATCCCATTTCTATGCTGAGAGATCTCATTGCCATCTCAGTCCTTGTCATCTTGGCCTACATCATCAGAGGTATAATACTCCCTACAACGGAAGCATAGCCAAACTGGACTGCATTAGATTGGAATGGACAACACTATTACAATGTCTCGATGTTTCCGGGTGCCATATGAATCTTGTACAATGGAAACTGTAAAATGTAAACTTCTTCTTCTTAAACTTCTTAAAACTTCAGCAGCAACATTTGGACGAATATAAATAGCTGTGACTATCCTCAGTATTTGGGGATCCCCAGTGTCAGAGCTGTCCTCTGGTCCTGCATAACTTTGTATAAATCCTCATTTGCCTCAGACAGTCACATGCATCTGGTGCTCTGACTGAGCTTGGAGCAGATTTGATTAAATAGAATTACACCTAAATGTGAAATCAAATGTATCACAGGCTAAACACATCTCCACTCTGCCTGCCAGCCGCCCGCAGACTTTTCATTACTCACATTTGGAGAAAAACTGAAAACAGCTACATGTTATTTTTGGAGCAGTGGTCTTGCCCTTTTGATCACCTCTCCTTCAACCTATCCTGTCTACTCTAAAACATCTTCTTAGCCGCCCCAGACATTCCATATAAATAGGTTCACATTCGAGTGTCTGACATGCACGCTGATAGTCAGGAATATTACTTCTGGGCACAGGGCCAGGTCTGGCTCCTACGCACCAATTTTTATTCTGTGGATGTTGAGTAGGATCAGAGACTGCCCGGGATTCCAGTCACCACGAGTTCAAAGAAATAATAATACTCACAAGTCAACACCCCACACTCCAAGGAAACACAAACTATCAAATAAAGAAGTCACTGTAGTGTAAACAAAATAGCTCAAGTTAAACTGCTTGCAAAATTTATATAGAGACAAAAATATAGATAGAAGTTTAGTGCTCTATTTGTCATTATGCTGTCACATTATACAACAAATTGCATAGATCAGATGGGCAACGTCATATTGACCATAAACCAATATCAAGGTCTGGAAACAGATGCACTGCGATCTTCCATGGCATTGAACAATGTGTCAAATGCAGAGAACAAATTTCCCTATATGGGTACAATATCAAAGATGGGTATCCTGATCCC